AAGCAGTTCAAAGTGCTCAGAGTGCAGTAAACCATAGCAAACAAATACAATATTATTATTCTGTTTGTGAGGTCTATTACATTATAAACACTATAGTTGCTTTTTGCAAAGCCTTACTTAATATTCCTAGAAATACAGTTGAAGGGGATTCCCCTTCCCACCACTTTAACATTTGACTGTTATGGACCATACACTCACCGGCCACTTTATTAGGTCACCCGATGTGGTTTTCTGCTGCTGTAGCCCATCTGCTTCAAGGTTCTATGTGTTTTGTGTTCAGAAATGATATTCTTCATACCTTGGTTGTAATGATTGGTTATTTGAGTTATTGTTGCCTTTCTATAATCTGGAACCAGTCCGCCCATTTTCCTCTGACCTCTCGTACACACAACTACCACTCACTGGATATTTTCTCTGTATTTACAGACCATTCTCTGTAAACCCTAGAGATGGTTGTGCATGAAAATCCCAGTAGATCAGCAGTTTTTGAAATACTCAGACCAGCCCGTCTGGCACCAACAACCATGGCACATTCAAAGTCACTTAAATCCCCTTTCTTCCCCATTCTGATGCTCGATTTGAACTTCAGCAAGTCCTCTTCACCACGTCTAGATGCCCAAATGCATTGAGTTGCTGCAGTGTGTTTGGCTGATTAGCAATTTGTGTTACCAAGCAATTGAACAGGTGTACCTAATAAAGTAGTCAGTGAGTGTATATTAAGATGATATGCAAACCTTTTCATATAATTAAAGTGGAATTTAATTCATTTTTAATATTTAAAGCAAAATCACCCACCCATCCATGTCTGTATGTTTTATTTTGCTGAGAAATCATTTTGAAATACCCCCCCATCCCACACTAGCATTTCCTGCTGTGGCCATCTTGAGTAAGGGCAGATGATTCATGTAGCATTTACTTCTTGAAATCCATTTGCCTTTGGCTCAGGCATACAGACAACTTAGCTGAGAAATCCCACTCTTCTCCCCACCTTATTCTTTTCACACTCTTTGATTTCTCTCTCACTTCCTTTCCCTGGAGGGATATTGACATTTGGATCATACTAAGTGCGTGCTTATTGAGTCTGCTCAGGCTAACAGGATGATACTGCAAGATTCTTCAGTATTGGAATACCAGTGTATACTGTTAATTGTAATGTATGCTTGTTTTGGTTTCATGTACCTTGGATTGTTTGTACCGTTGTACAACTTCAATAAATGCAACTGTTACAAAAAAACCCCTCCTCTATGAAGATTCCTGGGTAGTATGACATCATTTTGGCCTAGGCAGAAACCAGGAAGCAACTGAAAAAATTAAACATAAAACGTTTAAAACAGTTAAATATAATAAACCTTTTTATCTACTTACTAATATTAGCTGCATAAGACTTAAAAATAGTCAACATAGATTGAGAGTGTGAAGTTCCACTTTAAATGAATATTCTACATCTTTTGAAGCTGCGATATGAATAATATAATATACAAAGTCCTTCAAGACTCCTAAAGCCATAATTAATGTCACATAAACATATCTAGTGTGACATTCAGCTTTCCAGAGTATGGCTATTTTTATAAACAAACTATTTTGTGCAGTGTACTGGAACATTTTATTACTTCAGTCTGCACTTGAATGTCAAACTGAAATAAAAAAGGGGGAAAGGTACCGATTACTTGTATCTTTTGCATACCAAATTGCTTTTTGCAATACAAAGTCTTAGTTTGGATATTTTGAGCTCTTCTGTTAGAGAGCACTTGGCAGTTTAATCCATTATAGCATAATTTAGAATTAAAATCACACTGTGATGATGAATTGTACAGCGTAGAAGCAATACTAATTAGTTGGCCTATGGCAGGTGAATATTGTACTACGGAATATCTCAATTTCCAGAAGAAGGCAGAACAATAGCCTGGCACACATCATTAATAAAGACATTAATAAAGACATTTATTGAATTTAACTTTTGTAAATCTAGCTTTCTTTACATTAAAGATGGCACTGAATGTTATAATGAAATAACTTCTTTTTTATTCAACCCCCAAGTGAATTCACTGTACCCTCGTAACACTTTTAAACACTGCGATTAGCTGCCACTTTAGTAGCTTTTAAAGCTAAAGTTTAAAATAAAATTGCAGAATCCTAAGGGAAGCCTCATAAAAATGCAATAGATTTTGCAGAAAAATATTACACTGATGAATAATAAAAATGTTTACCCCAGCAATATCCAATGAATAATAATAACCCAAATAATAGCTTGCTGGGATTTTTATTCTTTGGGAGATTTTTGTCACCATACTTACTCCGTAATCTGCCCAACTCTCTTTACTGGAGACGCAGGAAATGCGAATGATGCATCCCTGAATCTGGTCATCCTGCCCCCCAGATGTGTGCACTACTAAAATACATGCACATCCTAATGGAAAGGAGTTAGAAAGTTGTCATTAATTGTGAGTAAAACTGCAGAAAAGTATTTTTCTCAGTAACCATACCAGTTTTGTAATGGTGTACCTCTGAACAGCTGCATCTTCTGTTCCTGTATTGAAAATGCTGCACACAGTAGATTTGTTCAGCTTTATAATCCATATATTTAACTTTAATCAATCTGATGAAAGGTTGTATGATAGTAGCATAATGGTTTGAAAATGAAGCAGTGAGCAGACGAGGTAACTGTAAAGAGATGCAATATTATAATGTAGTCATAGTGCCCGAAGATTACATTTATGCTGCTTTACTTTGCATTTCATTACCATCCACATCAGGAAAACACTGGGTTGATTGGAAATGCAAAGTTTATGGAAAATTGCTTTCTGTGGCCTTAAAGTGTTACTAAACCCTCAACTGTAATATCACCCCATATATGCAGTAAAGCATGCTCGTTATACTCATTGTGGAACCTAATCCTATGCATTGTGTAAAAAGGCTGTTTTATCCTGACTGCTCTGTTCCTCTACTTGTTCAAGCGACCACCTCTTTATCTCCTGATAAGACAGATTGAACCGTAGGCATTTTGCACATGCTCAGTTTGGTGTGAATTGCTAGAGAGGTTTTCTTTTTTTCTTGGGAGAGTGCATGTGATCAGAACAGGGCCAATCAGCGCTGGTCAGACAGAGGTCAGGGGTTTTGCATCCTCATAGAGGAGAATGAAAACTCCTACATGTTTTAACCAGTGCTCTCCTGGACACTGATAGAAGTCACAAGACTGCTCTAATTGCTGATGAGCAAAGGCAGTTTAAATCTGCTAAAATAATTGTATGCAGGGTCCTGGGTTTAGTAACACTTTAAGGAGGAGTGCTGAACAGATTTTTCTAATAGGCATCTGAAAGGCAGCAAGCATTCGAGGGAATTAGTGATTAAGAAAAAGTCCATCTACATCAAACTGGAACAACCATCATTGAACAGAGGTGGGGTGCCTTCAACATCATCTGGCTTCCATGTTTAATTCCATTTTAACATCTCTACCCTGGTGTTTTGACAGCAGTTCACATTTTCGCCTTGTAAATTGAAGGATCAACACCCCAGTAACACTTGCGTGACTTGTTATGCGGCTTTGAACATCAAAGTTGCATGAAAGTCATACCCCATGTTTTCCAATGATAACTATTCATATATGTGCGACTTGAAGTTGCAGCGAGTTCAAAGTAGCTCATGTACTACTTTGGTCCGACTTTCATGCAACTTGTGGGCCATAGACTTCAATGTTAACCCTCAAAAGTTTCATGAAAGTCATACCTGAATGTTTTACATGCAATAGTGGTGCAACAGTGGGTCTGACTTTGGAAAGTCACATCAAAGTCGCACCCATCCAAAGTTGAGTCAGAGTTGCAATCCAAAGTCGCATTACTTTGGAGGTGTACAAGTGTGAATAGATCTAGTATTCATGAAACTTTCCTTACACCACGGATGGGATTATGTAACTAGAACAGGGTGGTTCCAAATTCTGTTCTTGGACAATAACATCTGCCTAATTAACAGTGACTGGATTAAGGTGTTGGTGCCACCTGTTTTATTATAAATGCTGGGGTATTTTCCTGATACTCATTACAGCCGAAGAAGTGGCTTGGATAAATTATGAAATGTCTTCAGTATTATAGAACAAGTCCAGTTGATTATGATTAACAACTGCTAGATGTACCATGCCATGGATAGACGAGAGCCTTCAAGTCAAACTTCATGCAGGTTGGGGAAGGGAAAAATTGTACTAAGGGGCGCTACATCCCATGTTACTGGAAACAAATTTATTAGAAAAGTTTCAGACCATGAGAACCTTCATGGTGATAATGATCAACAAATGCTAGGGATCCAATTTTTTTTTCCATTTAGCTTTACAAAGTTAGTTTCTGAATGAATGAATTTTAATTATGTTGTAGGAATCATCCATAGGACTGTGCATATTCACTTTTATACTTTATCCTCATTTTAACATAAATGCCCCTTTCACACGGGCGTTCCGTATGTACGTTTTTCATCTGTCCATTTATGGATGAAAAACGGACCCCCATGTATTTCTATGGACTTGCGGATGTAAACAGATGAACATCTTTTTACATCCATTAATGTCCGCATCCGTTAACATCTGTTTTTTTTTTGAATGGAAGAAAAGCCTATTTTTCTTCTGCAAAAAATCCCCAGAATGGACGAAAAACAGATGTTAATGGATGTAAACGAACCAAAAACTGATGAAAACAGATGTAAACGTATGAAGAACGTATGTAACACAATGTAAACGGATGAAAAACCAGATGTAAACTCATCTGTTTTTTCTTTGAAAACACATGACAGAACTGAAAAAAAAAATGGAACGCCCGTGTGAAAGGACCCAAACTGTGATACTTTCACTCAATTCCATTTAATCCCAGTTTGAGTTGTACACGTGAGGCTGTCTCATGTGTCTCCATGATAGCAAAGAAGAAACGAGTTTCTAGAGCAGAGGTATTGAATTAAAATTCAAGGAGGTCTGATCACTAATATTGTCTTCTGGCCAAGGTCCGAATAGGGTGTACCCATCAGTGTGCCCTATTACATTAGGTGTCGCCATCAGAGTGCAACTTTACATCATGTATGTATTCCTATCACTTCAGGTGTGCCCATCAGAGTACTCCTTTTACATCAGTTTTGCCCATCAGAGTGCTCCTTTATATCAGTTGCCCCCATCAGAGTGCCCCTTTACATCAAGTATCCCCATCACATTGCCACCTTACATCAGGTATTCCCATCAGAGTGCCCCCTTACACTCAAAGTACCCATTTCTATCATATTTCCCCATCAGAGTGCCCCTTTACATCATATTCTCCATCAGAGTGCCCATTTCCATCATGTGCCCATCAGAGTGCCCCTTTCCACAGTATGTGCCCATTTGTGCCCCCTTAACATAAAATGGGCCCGTCAGAGTGCCCCTTAACATAAAACAAGGGGCATGCTGATGGATACATCATTTTATGTTAAGGGGTCTCTTTCAGTCCACTTTTCCTTCCTCTCTGGGAAAGTTATAAGATTCCCCCTCCTTTCCACCACAGTGCCACTGGGAGCTGATATCTTTTAGCCACTTTACGGCCGGACCATTGTAGCTTTACTGCTACAGGGCAGCCACTCTGCACAGAGTCACATATATATATATACGGTATATATATATATATATATATATATGTGTGTGTGTGTGTGTGTAATTCTGCATCTCCGGGTAGGGGGTGCGCGCACGCTCCCGACCATCCGGCTGTGCTGTAATTTGTCACATCACATGCCAGTCACTGGGTGCTGCCCGGTGTTTGGCCGCCAGCACCCAGTTATCAGCTCTCAAATGCTTAGAGCACAGCTCTGTCAGTATAAACCCGAACAGAGTTGTGTTCAGTGACAGGCGATCTCATTGATTTTTCATTCTCTGCTAAGCAGGGAATTAAAACAACTAGATGTACAATAAAAGCACACAGTACACACACACACACACACACACACACATACACACACGTTAGGCACATATTTAACCCATTGGTAGCTCTAGATAATAACCCCTTCCTACCCAGTGTCATTACTACAGTCACTCTGCATATTATTAGCACTGATCACTGTAATGATGGTACTGGTCATAACAGTGAATGTCAGTTAGCTCCCCCCAGCATCAGTTATTGTCAGATTGACCGCCGCAGTCCCATTGCCATTACTAGTATAAAAAAATAAAAATTCCAGTATATATCCCATAGTTTAGAGGCGCTGAAACGTTCACACAAACTTATCAATATACCCTTATTGGGATTTTTTTTTTACCAAAGACGTAGCAGAATACATTTTGACCAAAATTGAGATTTGATTTTTCTTTATTTTTTTTATGAGATGTTTTATAGCAGAAAGTAAAAAAATATATATTTTTTTTAAGTTGTCAGTCTTTTTTCTTTCATATAATAAAAAATCCAGAGGTGATTAAATACCACGAAAAGAAAGCTCTATTTGTTAGAAAAAAAAAAGGATACACATTTCATTATTGTACAGCGTTGCATGACTGCGCAGTTGTCAGTTAATTAGTGCAGTGCTGCATAGCAAAAAAAAAAAAATGGTTTGGTCATAAAGGGTGTTTACATTTCCATTTGTTAATCTTAGAATCTAAAGCCAGTTCAGTCTGTAGAAACTATTCCTTCCACAATCCTCCACGCATCTTCCCATAGTCTCTAGCAGTCCACCTCTTCAGTACACTCCCTGGTGGATGGTGGATGGGCTATCATTGGCTGCTCTATGTGCTCTGTGTTCTACAGTAGAAGTCTCCTCTTGGGACTGTGCAATGTAAACAAATACCTTCTCTGCTAGAATCCTTTTCCTGCATTTAAGACTGGGCTACAGTTACAATTCAAACCGGCCCAACTAAAAGCCTTCACTCTAACATTTGACATTTGCTCTAAAGTCATTTAGTACTATGTAAAATACTTTTCCTCCAGCCTATTTCTGTCACTGCTATAGACAAAACCCAAAATATCAATATGTATAAAAATTTATCAATATGTATAAAAAATTATATACAGTATATCATGCAACATTTAGGAGATATTTACTTGTGTATCATCTCCGGAACATGTGCTCTAATAGAACAGCACGGGCATGCCCATCCTGTTCCTTCAGAACTGTGTGCTAAAAAAAGTGACTTCAGCGCACATGTGCAGGAGTGACGTCATCGCGGCTCGGCCATTCAAGCCGCCGGAGCCGCGAATCCAGAAGGACCAGGTGAAGATAAAAGTTTGTCAGTGGTGACAGTGCACCGCTGGAGGGCTTTGTTGTATACTAGCACATTAAGACATGGTGGGGTTTATTTACTAAAGCTGGAGAGTCCAAAATCAGACTCACTTCTGCATAGAAACCAATCAGCTTCCAGGTTTCATTGCCAAAGCTTCATTGAACAAGCTGAGGTTAGAAGCTGATTGGTTTCTATGCAGAAGGGAGTCTGATTTTGGACTCTCCAGCTTTAGTAAATAAACCCCATTGTGCCATTGTCTTGCAGGGGATTGTTTTTTTTTTTCTACTAGCAGGTTTACTACTACTGCTTTAAGCCCAAATGCATAGTAAGTTTTCTTCAGCAGATAATAAAAGTATCTTGTGACTGAGTCATTATAAGGCAGCCATTCCCTACAGCACAGATAAGTGGTAAACATTCTGAAATATACAGGAACCTGCCAAAAGTGTAGCCTAGTATGCCTTAACAACCATTTCTGTACAGAAACACTCCACATGCACGAGAAACAGGAGGAGGAATTCAGCTTCTGCTAACAATGTATTACATGTCAAGAGGTTTCATCCAAAGCCACTCACTGAGGGCAACCATATGGGTCAATATTTGAGAGAACACTGGATTTTCGCAATGAATACAGATATGAAATAGAAAGCAAAATAAAAATTGAATGTCTAGCTATATTAGGTTATAATCATGTAAAAGCCAGCTCCTGGCTGGAAAGCCCACTGGAGTACCTCTCCACCTCCATATTTATTTTTTGTATAAGTACTTGTTTTTCTAGTGTTTTCTGGATGGTCGCATGGTAGTCAGGAAACGCTTCCATTTTTCCCTGTATCTGCATCTGTATGAACACCATTCTCTGTGGCATTTTCATTTGAACCCAGGATCTCATGAAGACACCCCCAGAAAGCATGCCCATGATGCCTTGGACTCACTGGATGTGGGTTGAGTGCTGTTTGTTAACTTTTAGAAAAAAATCATTTCTAGATAGACATGGGCTTTAACAAGAACATTAAGGAGGGTGAAGAAAGTTTTCAAGATGTGCTATTTTTCCATAGACAGAAAAAAAAAGATTAATAATTGCTACTGAATATAGCACATTTTAAGAAACCTCATTAGATTAGTTTAGCGAACCCATTTCTAAAGAAATTAATTTGTATTTTGTTGGCATACATCATGAATATAGTTTCAAGGAAATTAGAAAAAAATCTATAACCAGGGGCATAACTAGTTCCTGACACCCAGGGCACGGGCAAATGAAAAAGCAAGCACTAATCCAGATGAACTCACCATACATCAGCCCCTCCACTGTGTCATTAGGTGCTGGTCCAATCTATGATCGGGATAGTTCAAGCATCCAAAGAACAAAGGTTGACCTCATTCCAATAGGCAGGGAAATCCAAACTTTATTGTATAAAATCCATATCACAAAGACATTACTGTTTTCAGATCACAGAATGACGGCAATTGTTACACAATGGATTTTATAGTATGGTCAACCATTGTTTTTTGGATGCTTGACCTAGGGCATATGCCTTGCATCTTCTGCTGAGTGTACTGACACTGCTACTGCTTATGCAAAATGCCTGTGAATTGGCACTGATATTAGCACAGATCACAGGCAAAAGGCACAGAGCTGTTTAGAGTGGCTCTGTGCCTTGTAATTGTGATGAGCAGTCATAGTGATCACAAATGTAAACACATCTTGAGCCCGTCCCAGTCTCCTGATTTTGTGCATTTCTCCTCTCTAAGTGCTTTATCTACCAATCATGTAAGTAAAACTGCTCCCACTGATCACCGAATAAAGATAGGCACACTGAGCAGAAAGGGGGTCACACTGTTCACTGCTGAGAAGCAAGGGGGTACACAGGGGGTGCACTGATCATAAATGGGGCACACTGACCATCATTGTAAGGGGCACAGACACATGCCAAATGTAAGGGGGCACAGACACTGGCCACTAATATAAGGGATCACAGACATTGACAACCAATGTAAGGGCACAGACACTGACCACCAATGTATGGAGGCACAAACACTGACTACCAATCTATGGAAGGCACAGACATTTACCATCAATGTAGAGGGGCACAGGCAGCAACCACCAATTTAAGATGGGGCACAGATAGTGATAATGTAAGGAAATACAGACACTGACCACAATGACAGGCAACAACCCCTAGTGTAAGGAGGGCATACTGACCACCAATGTAAGGGGGTACATAAACTGACTGTGAATGAAAGGGGGGCACAGACACTGACCACCAGTGTGGGGGACACAGATAATGATTACTGACTCCTGGTATTTTTTCTTCCCCATTAACCCCCATTCTAGGTGTTTCTTTCTCCCGCTGACCACCAACACTGGCCTTTTTTTCCTACCTCGATCACTGGTACTGAGTATTTCTCCTTCCTATGGAGGCACTATGACATGTACTTCTAACATTCTATACATTGTGCTGTACATAACGAAGTGCTTACCACTTTACATTACATACAGTACTTCTGCTCAAAGTGTTTATTGCCCCTACAGTTGCTGCTTGCTCAGTAGTTTCTATTTTAATGAAGGTCTTCTTTAAGGTAGGCTCAAGCAAAATCTTAGCACTTTGTCCATATCTGTTTTATTTTTTAAAGATGATCCTTTAAATTTATATTTATACAGTGGCTGTGAGCAGAGGAGGAAGGCTGTTTCTAAAACATTTCTTGAGTGGAACATGAAGGCAAGATGGAGGGGACAAACAAGGAAGAACGTAACACAATAATAAATACTAATAGAACATTTTTGGGGCGATAGATTGGTGAAAGGAAAGACCTTCAAGCAGAGCTTGATTTCTGTATTTGAGATATGTACAGTATAAGAGAAATACACTGCTAAAAAAATGTAAGGAACACTTTGAAAACACATCAGATCTCAATGGGAAAAAATATCACGGTGGATATCTACACTGATATGGACTAGGTAATGTGTTAGGAATGTAAGGATACCCCATTGTTTGATGGAAACGAAAATTATCAGCCTACAGAGGACTGAATTCAAAGACAGCCGGAAAATCAAAGTGAAAAAACGATGCAGCAGGCTAGTCCATTTTACTAAAATTTATTTGCAGCAACTCAAAATGGTACTCAGTAGTTTGTATGGCCCCCACATGCTTGTATACATACCTGACAACATACAGGCATGCTCCTATTGAGACG